ATAGTTTTACAGTCACCTAAATGGAATTAAAAAAATGAAGGCTTATATATAAGGTTAGAAATGAATATGTAGCTAGTTCTCACAAAACTGAATGTGACCGAAACAAAAACAGTGTTTACCAGTGTTATCTTTTCCGTTCTAATGAAATTCATCATGAAACATTGTCAATCACCTTCAAACAAAAATATTCCACTTCAAAATCTTCAAACAATTGATTGAATATATTCTTGAACAATTTATTTTGATTAAATCTTTATCAAAATCATCCGAATGAATCATGAGAGTTGATGCTCATCAAACTTCAAACCAGGTTTTCTTCACAATGGACGAATATTCTTTTTCGTTTTCAATACAACTATGATAAACTTGGTCGATGTTATCATATTGAGATTTGACTGTGGCCAACCAATCAACTAGAACTTTTATTATTGTTGATGACACATTTTTTATCCAGAACGGGTTCTTCAATGTACATGATAGTATTGATCTTCCAAAGTCAAATTATCCAAATTCAATTCTAGTTTTATTGGATTACTGATTGATTCATTCTGAGAATATTTATCAGGAGTTCATAAGAGACGTACTTGGGTCAATCAAGTAGTGAAAAATTCTGGAAATGTGGTTTGAAATACTTTTAAGTAGTTTATTCCCGACTAGAAAACAAAGAAATGATCAATAACTCACTTTGTAGCAAATATACCAGTTTGCAAGTTTGCATTTCCATATAGTTGGCGAAAGAAATATTCTCAATTATAATGATAATTTCCTTCTCAAACACTCCTGAAGGAGAAAATATTAACTGAGGTAAGAGAAGTGTCTGTTAGGTTAAAATCAGTTTTGTATGTGCTTTGAACATAATGATTTGAATGGTTTCATGGTGAGATTACGTGCAGCAGAAATATTTAAAAAAAAACGAAGGTCATATTCGATTATGCTTATGATTATGCTATGTATTGAATTGGTTGAAAACATTAGATGTATTACCCACTGTAGTTGGGAAATGGATGTATACCAAACTGTAGTTGGTTATTGTCAGCAAAGTTCTAAGGATACTCATTAATATTGATATAAAAAATGTGAGAATCTTTCAAAGAAAGGAAGGAAGCAGTCAATTTCAAAAATTATCTCTATACAAAGATGTGTAGATCATGCAAAGAATTAACTTTTCAGACATAATATGGAAGAAAAAGCCCTCTCAATACAGCGTTTTTCACATAAACATTGAAATACACAAAAGAAAAATACTTTCGAAACAAATACTTTTATATTAATGCTGAACTACAGAAAAACACTTTTTTATATTCCGTTTGTATTCCAAGCGATCGTAACGCTGTCATCCTACAAATACACTTACATTGAAAACACTTTCATCCTCACTGGTAAACATCCGATGTTTCGCTGTAAGACGCTTGCTTTATTGGCTCTTCAGTACTAAATACGGATAACATTTTGAGAAAAAAATACTCAATTCGTTCATAAAATTACGCCTTTTCGTCATGGAATGAGTTGTCATCGATGACAGTACGTACAGCTTGTCAAATGTAGAAAGCGAAACATATCACTACCTGCATACACTACTGACACAGAACGCATTAGAATAGAAAAGGATGAAATCTATCGTACGACGTGGTGCGCCTATTTGGGTTTTAGAGTGGCCTGAAAGTACAGTCCTTGCCGCAATTAGCAATAAGGATATGGTGTTTTAATTGATGGTCAATTATTAGTTCAGTATGATAATGCTGTATTAACGTAATTGAATTTGAATGAGTTTATTTTTCAGCAGTCTGTATTGGATTTAATTTCGGGTTCATTCTGAAAATGTAATTGAAGATTGAATTTCAAAATGAAAATATGTTGGGAAACACTATATTTATTGAGATGAATGAATCCAAACAAAAATATAATGAAACACGTGTTTTGCTATACAATAGCTTTCTCAAGGGTAAACACTGCTCTAGAGGAAACGAAGTGAAAAATTCGTTACGTGAACCTTCAACGGATTTGAAATTGAAGCCCACAGTTTTATCAGCCACATATTGTTTCAGTGATGTCCATACTATTTCTATTGGGTTCGAGTCTGGATGATTGGGAGGCAATCCGAGTACAGTATGTCCATGATTTTCCATAATCCCAGCAATTTCATACAATCGTGGTTTATGGATTTTAATAATGGAATATAAAACAATTCTCAGCATATCATCCGTGAAATGAATATTCCATCATCCTAAACATTCCCTCAACTCATCTTATGTTATACCTGTTATACCTGTCTCCAAAACAGCTGATATTTTAGATCACAAAGATCTTAGACCCATAAGTATTCTACCCACCATGTCTAAGTTATTGGAACGCATTTTGAACAAACAAATCAGGGAATATATAAGTAACTATAATCTAATGCCTCTCCTTCAGTCGGGTTTTAGGTCTCTACATAGCTGTACAACAGTTTTGTTTAAAATAACGGATGACATATTGGCAGCAACAGATACAGGAGACATTTCGTTATTGATCTTACTGGAATACAGTAAACCATTCGACTCATTGAATCCAGAAATACTTATATATATGCTCAATTACATTGGCTTCTCTAAAACAGCCGTTAAGATGTTGTAAGAATACTTCACAAATAGACAACAAATGGTGAAACTCGAAGGCGAACTATCTGAATCGGTGAGATTAATGCGCGGTGTTCCGCAAGGATCTATACTTGGGTCTTTACTTTTTAGTTTATATACCTCAAATATACTGACTAAGATCAATCTCTGTAAGTATCATGCTTACGCTGATGATACCCAACTTTATGTATCGTTTAAACCAGAATTGCTGAATGAAGCTGTTGCTAACATCAATACTGAACTTCAAAACATTTATGATTCTTCTGTGAAACACAAACTGCAACTCAATCCTGACAAAACGCAGGTTTTTATGTTTGGTCCCAAATTATTATGCCAAAGGTATTTCCCTCAAATAAATATTTCTCTGAATGGCATAACTCTAAATATAGTACCGGAGGCAACAAATCTTGGCTTGATGTTGGATAATAATTTCAGGTTCAAAAAGCAAGTTCCATTATATATCCAGAGAGCTTACGCGAACCCTAAGATCAATTTACCCTCACCTAAATACTCAGATAAAAATCAATTCATGCCAGACTCTCTCATCCTTCCACAGTTTTCCTACTGTTCACCTGTATATTATCCCTGTTTGGATAGTCTAGATTTATGCAGGATACAAAAAGTCCAAAATTTCTGTTTACGCTACATCTATGGCATCCGTAAGTTCCAGCATATCTCTCATAAGCTTTCTCAGTCGCAATGGCTGTCAATGAAGAATCGTTTCTTATTGCAATGTCTGATCTTATTTCACAATATAATCATCGACAAATCATCGCAGTATCTTTATGATAAAGTTCGAATTCGTGAAAATGAACATACAGTGAATATCCGACACAAAAATACAATAACTGCCCCCTACCACAGCACAGCACTGTTCGAGATATCGTTCAGTTTTTCTATCTACACTCATTACAATAGTCTTCACACACACCTTAAAAAATTAAAACTACCACTTTTCAAGTTTCAGGCTCGTAACTGGCTATTTGAAAAACAGCTATCGTGCAACTAAAGTCTCGCATTAAATGTAAAATTCAAGTTATTCTGTAAGCATTATGAATTACCCCTCTTTTATGCCTTATATATTTTTTTTCTCTCTTACTACGTAGGAAATATTTTTTTGTACATCATATATACCATGAATACTTTTAAGTTTTGTATATTGCAAAGGAGTTGAATGGAAGAGCAGGAATTGGCGTGTTGCACACGCTTGTCTCCTGAATTCCGCTCCAGGATTTTACCAAATCCATTGAATTTTCCTTTATGACATTATTATTATTAGACATCATTATCATTATTATAATCGGCGAGTAAACTACAATACTGCACTCTCTACTTCAACTGCACAAAAAGTTCAAACTCATCAAAGTACATCAAAATTTTGCCAAAGATTGAATGGAGACTGACTCACTTGAAACAAATTACCTCAAAACTTCTACACTAGGATGCATAAAAAATGCAACATGTCACACCAATTAGGTTAAAACTACCTCTTTCGATGAGTGTCTTCGATCATGCAAGAAATTCGGAAGCTTCTCAATTTTTGTTGCAAAGTGATACCTGATAATGTTATATTTTGAGTTACAAGAAAAAGTTTTATGAGAATCTTCGACCTACGATTATGTTTGAACAAGCAGCAAATGTGAATCCCTCTCAAGGTACCAGTTCTCCAGCAGATGTCACAAATACGTTTATAACATATCTACACCAAAAATGAAAACTAGTTTCAGAATAAAAGGCGAAACCACGAAAAGTTTCGAATTTCGTTCAATGAAACTGACCCGAATCCTCTCGTGGTCTAATATCACAATCCAAGAAACTCCTACCGAAAACAAGCTTTGCGATCTTCATCATATTTGAGATCATTCCAGGGTCGCATGCCAACCTATTTTAGATGAAAACAAACAATTAGATGTTTTTCTAAACATGCCGCATTCGACCTTCTTTCAAGTCACTTCAAATATCATGTGAAAAAAAATATAGTTTCCAGACGTCTTTACTTCATTTGAGGATTTCTAGACCATATAACGTTAAACATATATTTTTTTATAGATTGCTACATTATATTCGTATAACGCCTATAATGGGTGGCAATGAAATATCAAATCTGATGAATTATAGAATCCGATGGAATATTAAATCTGAATCAATGATTTCCCAGTATGCTAAAATTAAAAAATTCACATTGTTCTCTTAATTTCTTGTTCAAATATATGTTGATGAATATATTCGTTATTCTCCAACTGATTTTGACAAACCGGGGTCATTATTTCCAGTTTAAACATTCTATCGATTGAGTTTTCACAAAGAGCAATTTGTTATTTGAATTTTCGAATTAGGTTGCCTTTACCAAAAGGCAATTTTGAAATGAGCATAGACATATCCAAGTATTTTTCCGAATTTTTTTGTCAACGATTTTATTTGTGAAATTAACATGACAGAAATAGAGTCCATCAATATAACACCCATTGTGATTGTTTGGTACATGGTCCATACAGTCTTATATCACATTATCATTATCATGCTGAGGAACCTGCGTGAACTTTACACGATTATGTATTTCAAAAAATTTCTGCCTCTTCAGTTCATTCGGCGTCATTATTGATAAAGTAGTACCCAGTGCCAAAGTAATGATCATTCCAGTAAGAGCCCAAAATGCTCCAAATTTTCCTATAATTTGTCCAAATATAATGGTAAGAACGACAGTTATAATCTGCGATGTGGCGTATAGAATTCCCAACACTGTACTCTCAGGTGAAGGATATGTTATTTCCATCCCAAATTCCACTCCTGCTGGCAAATAAGCACTCTGGAAAATCCTGAAATGAAATACAGTATGAGAGGTAGGAGGCTGAGAACACTTCAATGAATCATAAGAAATTATTCATAATTTTCACACAATATTGGTTACCCAGTAGACAGTTTATTTGGAAAATATCTGTCATATGATTAGCTGTCTGAAGATGAAGCAAAACATTTTCCAACAGTTACGTTCATGATGAGATGATTTCCGTACAAACAAAAAATGGACGAATATTCAAAGATGAAAATGAATAGCGTTAATAATTGAAGGCCATGTTGAAAATACTATTCCAAGAACACAAAAAAAATCAATTATTTTGACTTGTTATAAAACGGCTTATATATCATGTGCTTATGATTGTCATCTGAAGAATGCAGTGTTTTTTCACACTCATTTATTCATAGATTTGATGTGAACACTTTTCAGGATTTTCGATAACTGCCTGGAGTACTTCCAGCTGTTTTTATTCTGATGATACAGTTTTTATTATTATTTATCATAACTGTGTACTCATCTGTTCATCATCATCTGTTTGGAATGTTTCAGAATTCCACACTACTTCAAACGAGAAGAGTTAAACTGAAACGGCAAGCATATTCGTAGCAGCAACTTTGTTCTTCCCCGACAGTTCCGATGACCAGATCAGTCGAAGTTTGCGCTAATACTTGCCACGAAAAGAGTTCATCACTGCTGCTATCTCTTGTGATATGTGTGATTGATGACATATTTATTATATGGTAATTCATGATCACTTTAATGAAATGAATAAAAACACTTTTGTAGAACCACGAGCAACTGCCANACATCTTGAAGAAATTAAGAATGTCGTTCAAGCAGTGACGTGGTTAAATCGTTTCTCACTTCAAATTGATATCATTTCGGTAATAATCTCATGAGTTATTTCCACCTTGCTGGGTTTGACACATTTACAATTTTCACTTCGATTCGGAGAAGTTTTAAAAGAAAAATTATGAAAAATATTTTTAGAGAGAAGCTTTTATATAAATGCACTGGAAATGAAAATCTGTTTTCTTTTATTGTTTGATTTAGGATATTCCGTGTGTGAATCGGATACATAATAGGTAATATTGTGCGGAAAGATTTTGAACATGTTACAGAACAAACAATCAAAGAAATTACTTTTTCCAATTTCATTGTCTTCAAACGAGCTTCTTCAATAATTGTTCAATTCGATAAAAAATGAAACTTGGAGAAAAATAGTGGCGTACACGGATTTTTACCATATATATCAATCAGATCACCCTCTGTGACACCACTGGAAATTTTATCTGTGATCTAATTACCTGAACAGAAGCTCCTTCTTACTGCTAACAAACATAACTAGTTCATTGAAATCGGCAAAAATACTTTTGAGTTATCTATAAAAGAACAATATTTTTAGTAGAAATGAGATCTTGTTACTTTGAAACGAAGCAAGACAGGATACATGTTTATATCAACTTTTTTCCATGAAATATGACAAGTAGGTAATCATCATCTGAAATTCATGACATCATCTGAGATAAATCTTGTTTATTTGATCTTCTTGTAGGAAATTATTGTTAGAGTAAAATTGGATGCGAGCTCAAGAAAAGCATCTGATGACGAAAACAATACTCACTTATATCTGTGTGTTTTATCAAGTATGATACCAGTGAAGACTGATCCGCCAATGCCAGCAATTATCATCAACGACCCCATTCTTCCAGCGTCTTCTTGGGCACCCTATAAGATTTCAACTACAAAATGATTTTCAGATTTTCAAATCAATTTATATTATATTAGACAATGGAAGTCCGAAATGATGGAATACACCACGAAACATTGTCAACCACCTTCAAACACTTGATATTGTAGACAGCCATCTCTCTGGAACAAAACAATTATTATTTTACACGAATGAAAAGACTTACTTACCCAAAGACGGTTATTATTGTATATGACAACCATTTATTTTGGGCTGATAGAGCATACAAAACTCCTGCCAATACGATAGTTTCCAATAGGGATACAATAGAAGACGTCTCTCTGCAAATAATATCACAACTATAAAATAATGTAGCAAATCACATATAAGTAAACTTTCACTTTAAGTCATTTCAGTATCAAGTGATTCAATAATTGCTATGCATTTTTTCATTATTAGTTATAACTTCAGTTGGCATATGCAGAGATGAACTACACGTTCTGAGTAACTCTAAAACTGTTACAGAGAAAAAATATTCTATTTTTCAACTCTTCGTGTTTTAGGCAACCTAGATTATTTAGCATATCTCGAAAATCGATTTGTTCTGTTTCATATTTGGGAATGAAAAGTTTCACAGCGGTAATTAACAAAATCGAGTGGATCCATTATCAGAACTCTTCAGATTAATCTACAGTGCCTGAACTGCATTTGACAAAAACAAATTTTAAAAAAATCCACATTTCCATTTGATAGGATTCAAGCGATAGTATTTTAATATTCATTGTATTCATTCAATATAGAGATAATTTATTTCTCATTTTTCATTTATTCAATGCAAGATTCTTCTATTTCAGTGTGAGGAGTTGGATGCTGCTTCTTCTACTAGCGACTCGAGTTAGAAAACCCCACTCTCAACCAAATTGCAAAGCCTCCACTGCCTCAATACAGCCTAAAAGAATGTGAGCTTCAGAAAGATCTATTTCATAAAATTGAACCAACACAATTGCAACCTTTCTCCATCACACGTGTGGCATCCGTAAGTAAACCAGAAGAAGAACCTATAAACATCTTGAAGAAATTAAGAATGTTGTTCAAGCAGTGTCGTGGTTAAATCGTTTCTCACTTCAAATTGATATCATTTCGGTAATAATCTCATGAGTTATTTCCACCTTGCTGGGTTTGACACATTTACAATTTTCACTTCGATTCGGAGAAGTTTTAAAAGAAAAATTATGAAAAATATTTTTAGAGAGAAGCTTTTATATAAATGCATCATTTAATAATTTTTCAATGGCCCCACATTCGTAATTTTTTTCTAAAAATGCTTTTTTAAAATAATTACAGTTCCATTCTCAGAGTAGGTGGTAATTTGATGACAATCACAAAAATCTTTGTGATGGAAAATCAGAACCAGTGCAGTGTCTACTGTCCTGAAGACTAATCCGAAGTACATTTTTGTGATCATTTGGTGCAGTTTTTCTCTGTCTATGCTACATACTTTATGAAGAAGCCACCAAGGGCATGAATAAAGCAGACATTACATGTGAAGTAAGGAAGGCATATAGCAAAACGGATAAGAGGAAAAGAATAAAAGAGAATATTAGGAGAGAATGGCAGAGGAAATGGAAGAGAGGCACGACTGGGCGGCTGCCCTGCAGGTTTTGCAGAACAGTCGGATATGAATCTTAGGATCTGTCGCAGAAGGCTATCCAATTGCTCACAGGGCATGGGAACTTCCCGGGATACCAGGCAAGATTTAACCAGGGTCCGGAGGTTCCCTGCTCTTGTGAGTACGGGGAGCCTGAAGCGAAAGAGCACGTGATTTATAGATGCATGAACGGGGGCAGGATTGGTTTCCGAGAATGGAAGGAGAGGACGGAAAGGATGAATGGCGAAATTATGCTGAGAGATATAAATGGGAAATAGAATGATTGGATACGTTTTGTTAACGACTGGGCGGAGAATGTGGTGAGAGAAGAAAGCGAAGGATAGATGTGGAGCTGCAGTCAAACAAGCATGGTGAACACTAAGAGGAGGGGTTATAGTCTTGTCAATCATACTGCTATACTGCTAGACTGTAAACATATCCAGGGATGTGCAACATAACTTGTACAACTGATATATAGGGGTTGGATCGAGAAAAAACAAAATTTATTTATGATTTTTTGTTATTATGTTTGATTGATGCTGAAGTTGCTACAATGTTTTAGGTTTTTTTTATTTAAGTTTTTTGCTATAAGGTACGATTAGTGTTAAAAGAGCCATAATGTTTTAAGTTCATAATTGATGTAATATGTATTTGTTTTTTGGGGAAATAAAAGAAAAATAAGAGGGTCTTCTATCCCGTTGATTCGTCTCTCCGTATGGCCGTCGCCTTGCGACGGAGGGGGGTGAGTTCGGAGATATGGGGGTTGTTCCCTTGACAGTGGTGGCGAGGGAAGATGCCTGATGTGGGGCCTACGGGCTAGGGCATCAAAGGCAAAGGCGTTATTCATGTCCATACTACATGGGCTGAAAAGTCTCGAGACTATACATAGATGGTGCTAGTCTCAATGCATTCACCATTTTTTTAAAGTTAGTACCAGCTGTCAAAAGAAAGCTGACACTGTGAAGTCGGCTGACATTGTGGAGATATCAAAATACTTCACTCCGGAATCAAAGCGACCGAGAGCACAACAATCGGCTGGAAAGGTTGTCCTCAGTATTTTAGGATGTACGTTGTGTAATATTCATCTACTATTTCGGAAAGGAAAATACCATCAACAGTGAATATTATATAGCGTTATCGGAGCGTTTGAAGACCGAAATCTTGAACATAAAACGCGTTTTCTTTTTCAGGCCTGAGATTTTTCAGCCCAGAATTATATTTCCGAAATTCTTACCAACGATACATCATTTCAGAATCGTAGATTTGCAAATACATAACCCAATGACCCATACGACCCGAGGATTTCTTGAAATCAGATTACCTTTTGGAACTCGCGTTATTAGTCAAAACTTGAAAATGAACATTTCAAATATCACATCTAAACCATGAAAACCCTGATGACTACCTCCGAATAACATGGGCGAATTCTTACCGTTCCCGAAGTCTTGTTCTGAAACGGCCTCCATCACCTTTCGTTTTGCATTGGTTTGAAAATTCAGCGCATAGTATAAGAACAGTTTTCTGTCCAGAGCCAGAGACAATTACGTCATCCCCAAAGGTTTTCTACTGAAATCGCCAATCCCAGGAGAGAGAGCTAAACGCATATTGGAACGCGCCAGCCGAGCATTGATAAGGTCTCAAATCAATTATCACCGTTGGAAGAGGTCAACTTTGCTGCAGGATGCCACAGAACGATTCGAAGAAATAAGAAGAGAGACATTGGAAGATGATCATGGACCAATCTTTGCCAAGATTGAAAGNGGCTGAAAAGTCTCGAGACTATACATAGATGGTGCTAGTCTCAATGCATTCACCATTTTTTTAAAGTTAGTACCAGCTGTCAAAAGAAAGCTGACACTGTGAAGTCGGCTGACACTGTGGAGATATCAAAATCATTTCACTCCGGAATCAAAGCAACCGAGAGCACAACAATCGTCTGGAAAGGTTGGCCTCAGTATTTTAGGATGTACGTGGTGTAATATTCATCTACTATTTCGGAAAGGAAAATATCATCAACAGTGAATATTATATAGCGTTATCGGAGCGTTTGAAGACCGAAATTTTGAACAAAAAACGCATTTTCTTTTTTAGGCCTGGGTTTTTTCAGCCCAGAATTATATTTCTGAAATTCTTACCTACGATACATCATTTCGGAATCGTAGATTTGCAAATACAGAACCCAATGACCCAAACGACCCGAGGATTTCTTGAAATTAGAAAACCTTTTGGAACACGCATTATTAGTCAAAACTTGATAATAAACATTTCAAATATCACCATGAAAACCCTGATGACTACCTTCGAATAACATGGGCGAATTCTTACCGTTCTCGAAGTCTTGCTCTGAAACGGCCTCCAGCGCCTTTCGTTTTGCATCGGTTTGAAAATTCAGCGCATATTATAAGAACAGAAAATAGACATTTCTTTTGATCTAGGAAAACCTTTTCAGTATCTCTATCCAATTTCCATTTCTTATGTTCTCAAGGTGATCAAGTTGGCCACAGGATGCATTCTTTTCAACAAGTTGGATGCAGAACACCGATACCATGAAGTGAGATCTAAGAATAAACAATCTTTCACAGCTTTGGAAGGCGTTGGTTGGAAAGTTCAACACTTCTACCTTTTTTGGATCTACGTGTATTCCCCATTCGGAAACGCCACATATCCTCAATACTTCAGAAGTGATCTCACAAACTTGCACTTTCGTCGATTCACTGTCAGACCAGCACATCTCATTTGCTCAAAATTATTCTGCAAAACTTTCAAATGCAGTTGAAAAGTCGGGTTAGTCACAATATAATTGAGTTGATGAAGCAATATTACCACAGATAGTACAGGGTGTTCCAAAAGTTTTGTCCGTTTTCTTGAGTAAACTCTGAAATATAATACCTTAGTGAATACTCACTCAATTCTTTCAAAAATGGCTCCATTCGAATGAGTATACTTTTGCTGTTGTTACACAAGTCAATTAATTCAGTCAACATTGAGATTGGGAGCTCAAGATTCAATAAAGTCAAAGATGGCCGTTTTTGCCTGGTCCTGATTGGCGAAAAAGTTATCGAAGGGCTTGGAAAGATGGTAGTTGTTTGGCGAAAGGTCTGGGGAGTATGGTGGCTGAAGGAGAACTTCGACACCCAATTCGTTCAATTCTCGGACGGTGATTTTTGACGTTGCGGACGGACGTTATCATGGAGCAGGATTTGACCTCTTCTGTTGACCAGTGCTAGCTGCTACTAACCCAACTATTTGTAGATTTCGCCACAATATGACACTGCTGTGATGGTTTGGCCTAGTTACAAGAAGTTAGGGTGAATCACACCAGCCACTGACCACCATACGGTAACCATGATCTTTTTTGATCTAGGATATGGTGGGTTTCTTTTTTAACGAAGTACCTGGATTGCTGATAAGTATCCTACTACTATCCGGAACGTCTCCTGTTGTCGTAGAGGATTCACTTTTCATCAAACCTGACGATATCGGATTCAAAAAAGGATCGTTTTGGTTGTGCAAAAGCAGTACAGAACAGATTTCGAAACGCGACAATTTCTGTCGATTGTTCAAATCGAGGGCCATCCATTTTTCGAGCTTTTTGACCTCGCCAATACGTTTAAGAGCATCAAATACCCCATGGGACCTGATGCCTAGTTCTGCCGCCATCACACGCACCCTTTGTACCTGGTTTGTCT